GCAGGACACCCGAAATGGCCGCACGCAGCGTTTTCGTGCCCTCCCCTCGCTTACCGAGGGCGCGAAAATGGCTGCCGCTATGGAGGAAACTTCGCTGAACGGTAAGTTTAGGGCCCATTGGAACGCATTAAACGATGTTTAATGCGTTCCAATGGGCTTTTACGTTCTGTTTAGCGACGATTCCACATAGCGAGGGTTAATCCGGAACGGATTAACCTCGCTATGCGGGGCACCACTGTACAGTTTTCCAAAACTGCTTCTTCATAATTCCAGATCTTTCTACTAATATTTCTCTATGTTCATATAAATTTATCTGCTGCCATGGCACTAGTAATGTATACAGTGATTTAAAGTTCTACTCTGTGTATTCAAATAAATCAACCACTGCTTTTCAATATAATTTTCCTTTTGAACTTTTAGGATTTGGTGCCTTTGTGGATAAGACTGTCCTCCCCTTCGTCAACACACACCCAGAGAAGCTGAAGAATCCCTGTCCAAACAAAGAAACAAAGTGCCAGCCACCCTTTGCTTTTAGACATGTGCTCAGTCTCACAAATGATGTCGAGAGATTTGAAACAGAAGTAGGGAAGCAGGATATATCTGGCAATCTTGATGCGCCAGAGGGAGGACTTGATGCAATGATGCAAGCTGCTGTCTGTGGAGTAAGATCTCAGAAAACTCATGTGATAATGGATACTAGGGTGGAGAAGTGGCTAAACCATACATGGAAATAAAAAAATGGGAGATGATTCCTCCAAATAGTTTTCATTTTTCAATATATGTGGCTGCTACTGTGTTTCCCCGAAAATAAGACAGGGTCTTATATTAATTTTTGCTCCAAAAATGCATTAGGGCGTCTTTTCAGGGGATGTTTTATTTGTATTCGCGAAGGCTTTCACGGCCGGGATCTAATGGTTGTTGTGGGTTTTTCGGGCTCTTTGGCCATGTTCTGAAGGTTGTTCTTCATACCATTTCGCCAGTCTCTGTGGCCGGCATCTTCAGAGGACAGCACTCTGTGTTTGGGAGTTAAGTATTTATGGCTGTGAGGTCAGCTTTTATTTTTTCATGTACAGCAATCTACATTTATTTAAATACAGTCATGTCATCTTCTGGTTGCTGCACAATGGTGGACGGCGGGGTTTCACTTAACTGGGGCTTATTTTTGGGGTAGGGCTTATATTACGAGCATCCTAAAAAAATCATACTAGGCTTATTTTCAGGTTAGGTCTTATTTTCGGGGAAACAGGTTTTTGACATGCACCCTGTGCCCTGTTTGTTTTCCCCAAACCACAGGCCCATGCTGGTGACGTTTTTTCGCTGCCATCAGTGCATTTCTTTTATTCACAATGTAAATTATTTTACTCAAGCACTGGCTCCCAACAATTGGAAGATAATAAAGTTACAGATGTTCATTTTTTAGTTACTCAGAATCACAATCATTATCAGTTATTTTTTGTTTACTTATTTGCAATTTAACCAACTTATGTAATTACTTGTTACAACTCACACTTCTAACTTTGACTATCTAGCTCTTTCTGCGAATCTCTCTATTTCATTTCTCATACTCTCTCTAACTCTCTCCCTGACACAACTGCCTCCTTCACAAGACTCTGCCTCCGCCCCTCCTGTCCTCCCATTGGCTCATGCAAATGAGGTACCGATGTGATTGACAGGAGTGGCATGGGCATTTAATATTTTACCAATACCTACCATTTTTAACTATAGGGCTATCGATACATAGAAGTACAAGGCTCAACAAACCATGTTTTATTATATTTTTGTTAATTATTTATATTTATACCTGGCTGTAAAGGACCCCAAAACAGCTTATAGTGAAACAGAATAGAATACATACAAACAATGTAGCGATAAAATAACTAGTGATAAAGCAAATAAAATATAGTAATAGTATGAAATGTAAAAATAGTATATTCTGGTAAATCATTCAACTTATGCACTACTCTGAAAAAAAGAAAACAGTCTTGAGAAGACAGCAAGTAGTAGCTAGCTGAGCCTTCTTCAGCAGTGTGTCTCAAAAAGCATGTGCTTTGGTGGGTTGTCCTTTTTCACAGTTTTGAAGGCGGGGCACCTGTTAACAGACCCTCCTCTACATCTTTGCAAGTGTAAGAAAGAGAGGAGACAGGAAGAAATGTCAAGATATTCATAGTCCAGATGATACAGATATATAGGGCAAAATCAACACTTCCAACTGGTCTTGAAAACTTGCAGCAGTACATTGCAGTTGCATACAGATTATTAGGACAAAATAGTTAGCCAGTAGCTGGTTCTACAAATCTAGAACAACAAATATAGCTGGGGTTTTGGTTGCTTAAATACTATTGCAGTTCATTTGCCAGGTGTAGCCTCCTACCTGGAATGATTTTAAAACTGGCAGATCTTTGACTTGCAGGATCAAAATTGAATAATGTTGTACAACCTCTTCAGGTGTCTTCATACCACAAGAAGAAGTCAACTGGGGAGTGAGTGATTTGCTTCTAACTTCCATAAGTAAGGCTGTCTCTCTGCTGGATTAACCAGATGCAAAAATAATGTTTTAGATTATATGGAGATGCTGAGGAAACAAAACACAAGTGTCTTATTTTTCTTTCAGTCACATATTTATCATAGAAGCCAATCTGAGAAAAAAAAATCAAGAAATAGTGGCTTAAATTCTACAATATCAGTTCATTATTGTTTTATGTGGAACTGCTTTTTAACAACAGGTTAGCTGGAGAACAAACTGGTTCACAAGGCCGAATAATATTTTCCAAGGAAATCTCCAAGTTAAAATTATTTTAGTATGCAAATAGTTCTCTTTTATTGGACAAAGGTGAAGATGCATTGATCTTTGTGTCCCTACTTTGACTTTTTGATTGGTTGGGTTTTGTTTTTGTTTTTTTTTTACCTTTACAAATATAACTGTAGGTATGTGCCAGTGTGTTTGTGTGTCTAGCTAGCTAGCTAGCCAGCTATCCACCTATCTTTCCCTCTTTCTACTTCAGAATAAGATTGGCTGGAGTAATGTGACCCGTCTGTTGGTATATGCTACAGATGATGGTTTCCATTTTGCTGGTGATGGTAAGCTTGGAGCCATCTTAACACCTTATGATGGGAAATGCTACCTTGAAGAAAATATGTATAAACGAAGCAATGAATATGTAAGTACTTAAACCTAATAATACATGCCATAAAATAGCTGTCAACTGATCTGGTAATTAATCTGCTACTCAGTTTAAAGCCAGATTGTATCTTTGCAACTGATTGCTTGGGAGGACAATTTAAAAACTTTATTTTCCTAAGGCATATTGTGCAGTCCAATTTGCTAATAATTGAATTATGGTCTATATCAGTGGTCCCAAACCTTTTTTAAACTGGACTGGTTGGGGTGGGTGGGGTCTGTGGGGGAGCACCCCCTGCACATAGGTGGGTGGGGTGAACTCACAGGTGGCTGGGGGTGCGCACACGTGGGTGGGCGAGGTGTGCTCGCGCACATGCATGGATGGTCATAGCACGCACAAGGATGGTCGTGCAGGTGGGCAGGTCAGGTGGGCGGGTGTGAGGGGCATGTATGCCGGGGGGAGATGTGTCTCCATGGCCCAGTCCTGCCAAGGCCACTGCCCGGTACCGGGTCGTGGACTGGGGGTTGGAGACCCCTGGTCTATATAATTATACAAGAGTATTACATAATATAACTACCTATATGCTTTGTGGTGCAGTGGTTAAACTGCAGCAGGATCGTCAAAATTCTGCTCACAACCTGTGTTCAATCCCAGTAGACTCAGGTAGCTGACTCAAGGTTGATTCAGCCAGCCATCCTTCTGAGATTGCTAAATTGAGCTCACTGGGGTGGGGACCAATGTGTAGCCTGCCTAATTAAATTGTGAACCACTCAGAGAATGTTTTAAGGACTATAGGCCGTGAATATGCAGTACACTTTGCTTTAGGTACGGCCTTAACCACAAGAATCCTTTAAGAAAAGAAAAGAAAACTACATGTATTAAAATCCAAACCTGTGGATATCATCTGATTGTTGCCCATTATCTCACTTCTTATAGAACAAATGGGGAAGACAACTGCTGTTTGAAGCTACAAGTGCTTTCTAATATGGCTTTTATTGTGCAATTATCCAGTTGCATTGTCAAAATTTTACATGAGATACAAAAACTATAATCTTCAATTTGTAACCTGCCCGCATTTCAGTGTCTTTCCTCTTCCCATAAAAAACAATCCATCAAAGAGATAAAGATGTAATTGTCTTTTGTTTGGTACAACTAGAAGCTGTGGAAAATGTGGAATCACTCTATATGATTTCTCAGGAAAATCACATTAAAAAACATACTATGGTCCATCATTTTAAAAAAATATTCTGAAAGTGGTAAAAAGGATCTAAAAGCAAAATATTTGTTAACTTTACACATTTACTGTCCAAGACAAAAATCCAGGAAAATTGATTATTGTTCATACTTATTTGGAAAGAGCCTTCACTGCTGTTTCCTTTGTCACACAGGATTATCCATCTGTTGGTCAGTTGGTTCAAAAACTTAAAGAAAATAATATCCAGCCCATTTTTGCGGTTACCAGTAAAATGGTTGATACATATAAAGTAAGTAACATTTTCAGTTTGTGTCTGTCGTGAAACTAATTAAATGTCATTGGAAGCCATTTAATTAATACATGAGAAAGAGCTTATTTAGTTTATACTTACACATTGCTATCAGGATGTGATACATATATTTAACACAATAAGACTATACTTTCAGTATGTTTCATTTCTGGGCACAATTCGAAGTGCTGGTTTTAACCTATTTATTTAACCTATTAATTTAACCCTTAACAACTTGAGTCCAAGCTATCTCAAGAACCACATCTCCCTTTATGAGCCTGCTTGGGTGTTAAGATAATCACAAGAGGCATGTCTAGGAGAGGTTTTAAAATGGATTGTATTTTGTTTCTTCTACATCTGTTTTTCATACTGCTTTTACCTAACATTTTTAATATAATGTTATTAAATCTTCTTTAATATTTGAATAATTTACTGTTTTTAGCTTTTAATTTTGTGTTTTTAATTATGTAAGCTTCTTTGGATCTTTTTGTAGGAAAAAGGTAGGGTAAATACATACATACATACATACATACATACATACATACATACATACATACATACATACATACATACATACATACAGTAGTGCCTCGCTTAACGAGCACCCCGTTTAACGGCGAATCCGCATAGCGATGTTTCTAATGGCAAAAAATTGCTTTGAGATGATTGGTAAGCTGTTTCGCTTACCGATTTTTGCATAGCAATGTTTTAAAAACAGCTGATCGGCGGTTCCAAAATGGCCACCGGAAAAAAATGGCCACCCGCTGTGTTTTCGCGCCCATTCCTCGCTTACCGGGCAGCGAAAATGGCGGCCGTATGGAGGATTTTTGCATAATGGTGAGTTTTTTGCCCATAGGAACGCATTAAACGGGTTTTAATGCATTCCTGTGGGCTTTTTTATTTCGCATAGCGACGAATCCGTATAGCGATGATTTTTCTGGAACGGATTATCGTCGCTATGTGAGGCACCACTGTACGTACATACATACATACATACATACATACATACATACATACATACATACATACATACATACACACATACACACATACACACACACACACACACACACACACACACACATACATACATACATACATACATACATACATACATACATACATACATACATACATACATACATACATACATACATACATACATACATAAATGTTTGCTCTTCCTTCGTAGAAACTCAGTGAGATGATTCCAAAGTCTGCTGTAGGAGAACTCCAAGGAGACTCAAATAATATCATCCAACTTATCCAGGATGCTTACAATGTAAGTACCATAACAACTAGGTGCCGACTGAACTCATTACACCTGAAAGAGATTCAGGAAGGTTACATGGACTAACATGGTATGGGCAAATGCTGCTCAGTAGGATGCTCTAAAATGGAGGACATGATACATTTTCTAAGTCAAAATACAAACCGTAGTCAGAAGTCAGAGTCCAAAGCCAAGTGTCCAGAAAACAAGGTCCAAGATAAGCAGGAGCATGGATGCAAACCAGAGTGCTGACGTTGCTTCTGCAAGCTTCCAAGCCTCTGGGTGCAGATTTTATAGCAGCAGCAGTCATCTAAACACTTCATCCTGCTAAAACTCAGGACTGGTTGACCTGATGTTCCTATGGGAAGCATTCATGCGATTTTCTGCCCTTCATGTCATGAGTGTTTGCCAAAGCTTAGCCCTCACCCTGGCTACTGGGGGAGGAGAATCTGGTGGTGATTCAGCTGTCTGTGATTCTGATTGCCCAGCATTTTCCTCAGCTGTAATTAACCCTTCAGATTCCAGATCTTCTTCGGCTAAACTCATGACAGCTATCTACAATCTTTGTATTTGTGCACCAGCTTTTGTTCACCTACTGTAAAGACTTAAACACCCTCCTTTGCTCTTTCAAGTATCCCTGCTCCTGTCTTGTCGGTAAGCTATGTAGCCCTCCAGCTCAGCCACTGTGCCCAGGACAGAAGAGTGAAACCAGGTTACTGTGATTAGCAAAATGCAGCAATCATTAATAAGTTTGCTCTTTACAATCTGCAGCCTTAATGCATCCATTTTGTTAGCAAGCAATCTCGTGTTGGTAAGAAAAATGCTTGGAATTGGAGGCTTGTGTGGAGATTTACTGAACTTTGCAAAATCGCCAGCAGAACAATATCTCTCTCTCCTTCTGTCTCTCCGCCACCTCTGCCTCCTTCCCACTGGAATTGTAATCCAAGGTTCTCCCAGGGTCCTAGCTACCTCCTATATGTTGTGAGAACAGATAAAATCCTCTGTAATAGTCATTTCGCATTTCGTTCCAAGTTGTAACAAAGTTTGCCAACTGTAGGATCCTTTCACCCCACCGAATGTGTTCATAACAAGCAATAATGGTCCGCCCTCGAAGGCTACTGGATCCGATTGGATTCCAAGATGCCATGAGAGGGTTCACGGCTGACCTGGCTGGCGCTCCTGTCGAGGCTCTGGTTGACGGATGGTTTACCGCCGCGACTAGTGCCGTAGACACGATCGCGCCTAAACGCCCTCTCCGCCGCAGAGATCGCCCGGCGCCCTGGTTTAACCAGGATCTTCGGGTGTCGAAGCGGGTCAGGAGACGGCTAGAGCGCAAATGGAGAAAGGACCCGACGGTTTTCAATCGTATAGCTGTTAAGGTCGCGACTAAACTTTACCAGGCAAAGGTAAAGGCTGCCAGTAGAACTTACCTCGCTAACCGGATAAGTGAGGCGTCTAACCAGCAGGCAGAACTATTCCGCATAGTACGCGACCTATCCGGAGTTGGCCCGGGAGATAGGCCTCCCCCTAGCTTTACCCCGGACCAATTTGCAGCATTTTTTAAAACTAAAGTGGAGGCCATCCGCCGGGATCTCGCTCCTTTTTTGAATACAGTGAGTCGAGTTGAGATGTCCAGCGCTCCGCCTTGCCCGGTGTCCTTTGACTCCTTTCACCCCGTAGTGCCCGACACTGTCGCCAGGACGCTTGATCGCTGTCGTGCCACCACCTCCTCTTTGGACCCTTGCCCGGCCTGGCTAATCAAGGCAGCCAGGCCTTCAACAACGGAATGGGCTACTGCAATAATTAATGGGTCTTTCCTTGAGGGCAGATTTCCTTCTGCCCTCAAGGAAACACTCATTAGGCCCATAAGAAAGAAACCCAGTTTGGCGGCGGACGAAATTGGCAACTATAGGCCCGTCGCCAATGTTTCTTTCTTAAGCAAGGTAGTCGAGAGGGTGGTGGCCGATCAGCTCCAGGCGTTCCTGGATGAAACAGATGCCCTGGATCCATTCCAGTCGGGCTTCAGGCCGCGCCATGGGACAGAAACGGCATTGGTCGCCCTGTGTGATGACCTATTGAGGGAGGCC